CCCCAAAACCCCAAAACCCCAAAACCCCAAAACCCCAAAACCCCTTTTCAGGTGGTTACATTTGAGATAATATTAATACTAAAAGTTACATGGACAGCGTAAGACTCTCTTTTTGCATAAAAATCCTCGTCCTATAAATCTCTAAGAGATTGAGACCTAGCTTAGTGAAGAAGCTAGCACTGTAGGCTGCAAGCTAAGTCTCAGTTTGATAGTTTTGTCACTTTCACCACTTTTTGCTCAATATTTTGCTATATTTCAAATTACTATTAAAACTTAGGACAAAAAGACGAAAAATTTTGAAATCCTCGAATGGGATCCTTACCTCAAGCCCTTTGAAGACAACTTCCACCTCAGATATGGCAAGTATCAGGAATGGAAGAATACCTTGACTGATGAGAGCGGAGATCTGGTCAAATTTGCCAAGGAAAGTTACAATAACTATGGCATAAAGATAGATGAGACTACACAGAATATCACCTTTTCAGAATGGCTTCCAAATGCCTCAGAGGTCTACATCACTGGAGATTTCAACTCTTGGAACACTACTGAGTGCCCTATGGATAAAGGAGACTTTGGATGGTGGAATATCACCCTTGAAGGCTACCAAGGAGAGGATGGCAAAGTACACCCAAAAATTGAGCATAATACTAAATTTAAGCTCTTCATCAAAACTCCAGACAACTCTGAAGGATTCTTTAGGAATCCTGCTTGGTCTAAGGTTGCTCACCAAGATGAGAAAGACCTCTTGTTTACCAATGTGATGTGGAATCCTGCTGAAAAATATGAGTTCCAGCATCCAAGACCTGAGAAGACCAATGGGCTGAGGATCTATGAATGCCACATTGGTATGTCCTCATCAGAAGAGAAGATCAACTCCTACAGAGAATTCGCAGACGATGTGATTCCCAGAATTGTATATGGTGGGTACAACTGTATCCAAATTATGGCAATCATGGAACACGCCTATTATGGATCGTTTGGATACCATGTCACCAATTTCTTCGCAGTATCCAGCAGATTCGGAACTCCTGAAGACTTAAAGTATCTAATAGATACTGCTCATTCTCATGGTCTACAGGTCTTAATGGATATTGTTCATTCACATTGCTCCAAAAATGTACTTGATGGTATTGCACAACAAGATGGGACAGACTACCAGTACTTCCACTCTGGAGCTAAAGGAGAGCATTCAGATTGGGACTCTAAGATATTCAATTATGATCAGTACGAGGTGCTCAGATTCCTTCTTGCCAACATATACATGTGGATTGAAGAGTACAAGTTTGATGGGTTCAGGTTCGATGCAGTCACTTCTATCCTCTACCACCATCATGGGATTGGAGTCGGGTTCAGTGGAGATTACCATGAGTACTTCTCAATGAGCACAGATATCGCTGGAGTTGCTTACCTCATGCTAGCAAACGATCTGGCCCATTCCTTAATTCCAAACGGCGTCACTATTGCTGAGGATGTATCGGGGATGCCCGGCCTCTGCATCGATATTGAGCAAGGAGGCATCGGCTTTGATTACAGGCTAAATATGTCATGCCCTGACACTTGGATCAAGTACTTGAAAGAGTTCAAAGATGAAGACTGGGACATGAAGCATCTTGCCCATGTTCACACCAATAGAAGATACAAAGAAAAGACTATTGGATATGCTGAGAGTCATGATCAAGCCCTTGTTGGAGACAAAACCCTTGCACATCACTTAATCGATGAGGAGATCTATGAAGGCATGGCCAAAGATTACCACTCAGAAAAGGTCGACAGAGGGATAGCTCTTCATAAAATGATGAAGCTCTTCACATTCGGGCTTGGAGGTGAAGCCTACCTCAACTTCATGGGAAATGAATTTGGACATCCTGAATGGGTCGATTTCCCTAGAGAAGGAAATGGTTCATCTTATAAGTTCGCCAGAAGGCAATGGAATCTTGCTGATGACGATAACCTAAAGTTCAAATTCTGGAGAGATTTTGATAGAGATATGAACTTATTAGAGGAGAAGTATCCATTCCTCTACCTATACAGCCACCAATATGTAACATCAACCAATTCAGATGACAAAATAGTTGTATACGAGAGAGGAAACCTTATTTTCATCTTCAATTTCCACTATACAAAGAGCTTTGAAAACTACAAAATAGGAACTTACTGGGACAGTGACCACATCTGTGTGCTGGACACCGATAGGGCAGAATATGGCGGCCAGAACAGACTTGAATGGAACAAGACCAACTTCCTGCCCTTATTCAAGGAGGCCTGGGATGATAGGCCATATAGCATAAATGTCTACATTCCTTCTAGAACTGCCATGGTCTTATGCCCAAGACAATTCCTAAAAGAAGACGCTTAAAGGAGATCTCCTACCTTAACTTCGTGTAATGAAATTTCCGATTAAAATATCTCTTTTAATACTATTTTCAGTTTGGGACTCTCCAAAGGGGTTTTGGGGTTTTGGGGTTTTGGGGTTTTGGGGTTTTGCTTTTATTAACCATTTTTCTTGTTGATATTGGGCTATCGTATTAAATGAGTATAAACCACAGTTTACATTTTATATTAATGTTACGAATAATACCAATATATAAGCCAACACCTATAGCGATGCCAGCATTCTTCCAAAATAGATCCTTATTAAGAGAATGCAGCCTGACTTGCAAAACTTGTGATGATGATTCAAAATGCCTAACTTGAAGAGATGGATACCAATGTACTATTTTTGACTTCATTTGATATTTGAGCTCTACATTTAGTTTTAAACCAACATTTGATAGTGTTTCTCACCAAAGAAGGTATAATAGATATATAGATGACCCAATCACACATCTCTGAGAAGCTCCACAATGAGGTCCAAGTAAGTGCTAATAATACAGTTAAATTTTCCTCTTTAAAGTACAGCTTTAATTTAATAGATGAGTTCTATTCGGGATCCACTCTCTCGTGAGTCGATTGAGGCAATAGCTGCTCAGAGCAATGAGCTTATAGAAATGAATGCTTTGCTTGACCAGATGGACAATATTTTGACTTAAATTCTTACTTGTGAGTTGATCAATGAGATTTATTGAAAATTCAAATAAATCATTCAACATTAGGGTCAGTTTCAATCTGTCGGAGTCGTGAATTTTATATAAATCCCTTGAGCCAAAGTACAACTGAGCTTGGGACAATTAAAAACCCTTACAAAGAGCTGAACTCTGCATTTCAAGAGCTATTCTACTTCCATTCACACTCAGACAATTAAAATTGTGATCAACCTATACGAAGATACCACTAATTTTATCAAAGAAGAAACCTATCTCAGAAATATTACCGAAATCATTATTAAATCTTACTCAGACACAGATTACGAACCTAGAAAAGCAAAGTAAACTTTTGAAATAATTCTCACTAAATCTTTCATAGAATTGTTGGCATTGAAAAACAATCAAATAAGTATCAATCTTTTTAGTCCTTCTAAACTAATCCTACTTGGTAAGAACTCTTGTTAAAAATAGATTTGCAAAATATTGACTTTAAAATCGAAATACAAGAAGACATTGAAATTCCAGTAGAAGACAAACAGCTTCTGTTACAATCTGAGGACTCAATCCTCTTAATCTACAAAACCAATCTGATAATTCAAAATATTCACCTCTCTACTGAATATGGTTACATTAGTGCACTAAAAATATTCCTCAACCCAATCAAATGAGAGCAAAACCTCATTTCGATCTCTGCATCGACTGTAATACATGAAGGAGGGTTCATGTCAACTTCTCAACAGATGAGCCTTGAAATAATAAACTCAGAATTTGACCTTTACAAATCTAAATATGGGCTCAACCTGAACCTTTCATGATCACAGCCTGAAGAGATAGTACCTGTGCTGACAAATGTTACCAATACAAGGTTCTATTTCTCGCAAGGTAAGGACTTATTTGTCATCAGAGTTTAGATCCACCACCTGAAGTGCAGTCAAAGAGGGAGTTTTTCATCCAATATGGAGGCCATGATCTCTCTTTCACTAATACAACTTTCATGCATTATGGAATCAATAGCTCTAGTGGCTACAATTTTGTACTGAAATCAGACCAGACATGAAATTATACAAGTATCAAGCCCCGAGCTATCAATATTACTGATGTGAAGATCCTCCTAAACTCTTCTTGGAACTTTCCACCAGAGGAGATGTATTTTGGATTGCTTATCAGGTATTTTTGTCTTTAAAAAGTAGTGAGTCTTCTAGAACTAGACAAATTTCAACATATCTCCTCAGAAATATTGAGATATCAAATGTTCAGATTATGAAGATCAGTCCTTTGAGAATTGAAACGAATGAAGAATCTGAGTGCCAAATTTATAATATAACTTTCACAAATCTTACGACAGCAGTTGAGATTATGCACATTTCTGGTTGTAAAGGTAAAGATTCCAGTAATTTTTAGAGTTAAAAATGCATCAGAGTACATTTAAAAATATTACATCGATGATTAATGGATTGTTGAGCCTCGATGTTATCAATAACGCAACCATTAGCTCAACAGTACTGAAGGAGGTGCATCTCAAAGTACCATTAAAATCGCAATTAATGTCATTTACAAATTCTAAAACTGGAAGATTAGAAATTACCAATTTCACTTATTCAAATGGGTCATTAGGTGAAATGCAAACTCTTCTATCTCTTGAAAATCTTATTGGCGATACAGTGATTACAAATTTTCAAGCTAGAAACATCATATCTAGTTCATCTTCTTATATCAAAATTAAAAGCAGTAAATCCATACTCTTAGATTCCCTTGGATTTGCCGATTGATCATCAATCTCAACAACTGGAAGATACACAAACAGCATTTTAATAGACTTATCAGAAATATATTCTGAACTAACTACCAACATAACTATACGCAAAGTGGATGTTATAAATTCCACTGTAAATACTCTATGGATTTCAAACAAGGAACAATCTAAGCCTAACACCCTGTATATAACAGTGAGCGATCTTCATATAACTAATACTATATTCACTTCCTTACCTATGCTAATCTCTACTGGTAATCAATTCTCTGGAGATATTCTTCATGTGAAATTTAACAGACTCATATTCGAGAATATTAGTAGCCCCGAGGAAGCAGAATTAGTCACATTTGGGCATCAGACCCAGCAGTTTGTTGAAATACATAATAGTGTGTTCAGAAATATCAGCCAAATGGGTATGGTAATTGAAGGAAAAAATAAGACAACCAAAATGCAAACGAAAGTTCTTTTGAACAACATAACAGCCGAAGGTTGCCATTGAAATTATTGGTAAATAAATTGTGTTAAATATATAGTTCTTTCCTTACAAGCCGGTCTCCTTCTGAAGTTCATGTTTTGAGCTCATCATTTACAAGAATAAGTTCAATTTCTAAAGGATCAGTGTTCTCTATTTATCAAAGTGAAGCAGCATTTGTCATAAATAATTCATTATTTTACCAAAATCAAGCTATCAATGGAGCTATTTTCTTCACAGATTCAAATGCTTTTGTTAATTGAACTGAATGAAATTTTACTGACAATTTTGCAATCACCAATTCAATAGCATCTTTTGGAGTTGGAACATATATCAATTTCCACAACTGTACCCTACAAAACAACCAGGCATTTTCAACTCCTGTCCTCGAACTATCACTCTCACCAGAAGAATCAATAATAAGCAACTGAACAATAAAATAACAACACAATCCTCCCAAAATCCTACATCACATCCACTCTTTCCACCCACAGTAAGCATTAAAAATAACCTCTAGCATACATAAACCCTCTTTTCACACACCACATTGCCTCAACTCCTTCCATATTCCCCTCCTCAATATACCCTTCCGCCCTCACCACCAACCTATGTTCTCTCTCAATCACCACCAACACCCTCTTCCTTCACCAACCCTCCATCCTCCACTCATCCTTCTCCTCAGTCACTTTCTCCCAAACCCTCATCTCCAGCACAACCACCCCTTACAACCTGATCACCACAGTCCACAGTAACATCAGTGTCACTGATCTTACTATAACTGGTGTTCATGGAGAAGGGGACAAGTACGTGCTGACAGCAGAGGAGTCAACGGTAAGAGTGGACAGAATAGAAGTAGACAAAGGCAGTGTAGGAGTTTTGGATAGTGCAGATTGACAGGTGATACTAGATGGAGTTGTGGTGAACCAAGAGACGCAGAGAGAGTATGTGGTGAAGGTTGTCAAGGGGAACAAGGTTGTGATTAGAGGAGCGTGGTTTGGAGGGGGATTTGGGGTGAAAAGTGTGGTGTATTTGTATAAGTCGACCGTTGAGGAGGTTGGAGATGTTAAGATTTTAAATGTAGAAGGAGTGGGGATTTATGCTGTTCAAAGTGTGGTAGAGAGTTTTAGTAATATTACTCTCAAAAATGTAACAATGGGAGCATATTTACAAGATTCTCAGATAAAGTTATTTGCAAATTCTACATTTGAAAATTGTGGAACAGATAATGTCAAATATGGTGGAGCAATTTATATCCATAAGAGTAAATTTCATTTCCCCTACATTGTTTTTGAAATATAAAGATTGCTTGAAACTATTCCATTTAATTTTTTCCTTCAACAAATAAAATTATATTCAGATATCTTGCTAATATTTTTGTAGAAAATGAAATATCGGCAAAGAATAATGAAATGTAAGTAAATTTGACTAAAATTGGCTTAACTATTAATTTTCCTTAAAATCAGTCAAATTAAAATATTAAGGATATAATTTTTTATCTCTTTAATACTTGCTAGATAAAACATAATTTTAGGATATCTAACTGAAATTTTACCAATAACAAGGCTCAGAATGGTGCTGCTATTGCTATTAATAATCAGTCCAACTCTCAGAATGTAATTTTAATCTCAGACACCTCTTTTGACTCCAATACTGCTACAGTGCAAGGAGGAGGTATTTATTATACAGACCGAAGACCTCTCATGAAAGGTCTTCGCTTATCTAAAAACAATGCTGTATATGGTAGTGACATTGCTAGTCATTCTTACATGATTAGATTCATTAATTTTGGAGAAAATATAACAACTCTTGATTCAGTAGGAAGTGGAGTCATAATCAAAGAAGTTTACCAAGCGAAACTAGTCGATTACGATGGCCAAACTATGAATCTCATAAACAAAGGAGTAATCAAAATCGAGAGAAATTTATCTCATACTTCTACAGGCGGTATTCCATATGCAAGGATTACAAATGGGGTTGCAAATCTAACAGATTTCTCCTTCATTGCTCTCCCTGGATCACTAAACATTCCTTTTTCATTGACTTCAAATCACATAAATTATGAAGACTCAAATCAGCTATCCCAACTTAAAAATACTTCTGAAGAATCTAAATTTATCGTCAATTTCAGGTATTGAAAGCCAGGCGAAATACAGACAGATAATAAGACATGCACACAATGAAATTTTGGAAGCTATTCATTGGAATGGAACTCAACCAGATGCCAGCCCTGCATTCAGAATGCCAATTGACTGGGAGCAGACAAAATAGAAGCACATAAAGGTTATTGGAGAAGCAAGAACAGATCAGAGAATGTAATCAGCTGATTAAGGGAAAAATCATGTTTAGGCGGATACCACCCTGACGGAGAGCATCCTGTAGCATGAGAAAAAGGATATGAAGGTTTCCTCTGAGCAGAGTGTTCTATCGTTGATGGGAATAAGTATCAGCCGTCTTATAATTATGAATGACTTAAATGCCCATCTAAAATAGTGAATTTACTAGAGATAATTAGCTTTCAGCTGATTGCTCTAGCATTTATATCCTTTATCATCATTATCAATTACAAGAAGAAAGGTGAGAATCAATTATCTGTGCTGTTAAGAATATTTATAAACTACATGCAACTAATGACTATAATAATGACATCCAATATAAACTTTCCAAGTGTATTTCATAAAGTCTTTACCCAATCAGATAGGGTAAACTCTCCTCAAAGAACATTTTTCTCTTTCGATTGTTTAATTGAAAATTATGAAATCAGGATGTTTGCTCCTTCAAATGCATTGCTTAAGTTATCTCTATACTTAATCCTTCCCATTGTTGTTCTAATTTTTGTAGTTCTTGGGATTCTCTCATACAGATTGCTCATGAGATATTGTAAATCTAAATAAAAAGTTTAACTGGAAGAGATGTATTGCCATATCATTCATCTGTATTGTCTTTATTTTTCATCCAACATTGATATCTCAATTCCTAAGCACTCTTCAGTGAGTAAAAGTCGACAGTGATGATTTCAGAATGCTGATGCATATGGAGTTCAAATGCTACTCTTCAGACCACCTAAAATGGATCTTCTTAGTTGGATTTCCTATCCTTTTAATTTGGGTTATAGGAATGCCAGCCATTGCATTCTTTATATTACTCAGAAAGAAAAGATTGCTTGAATTCCCAGAGGAACAAAAGAATCTATTAGTTCTGTACCAAGGATTGAGGAGTAGAAAATTTTACTGGGAACTTATAAATACCTTCAGAAAATTTATAGTAATTTCACTGAATATTTTTATGGAAGAATATAATCCATACTATCGCATATTATGAATAATATGTAAATATTCTGTTCATAATTTTAGTATCTTTGACCATCATTGCAAGAATGCAAGAGAGGCTAAGGCCATATAAGATCGATTCAAACAACAAAATTGAGATGCTTTGAGTCATAACAATAATCCTTACCTTGTACTGTACTCTAGTTTTTATACCTAAGAATGAGGGTGTAAACTCTGTGTACTATATCAGCTTGATACTAGCCTACACCATAAACATTAATTTCATAGTTCAATGGGCATACCTTGTCCTATGATACCTAAATGACACAAAAACACTAGAGTAATTTTTTGGAATTTTACCTTCTACAGCAATCGATACTTTAGGAAGTTCATGATAATATACGCATTTGTACTCTGAAAGAAGACCAAACAATTCTCTGAACAAATTCCTGACAAAAAATTGCTCAAAATTTCACCCACAAAAAATCGGAAAAGAATCAAGAAGCGCAAATAAGAGACTCCGGTAAAGTTTTATGGTAATTTCAGAGGCAAAAAGTTAATTAAAAAGCAAAAACCCAGATTCATGATTCGAAGAGATTCTTCATTTAGATCTCCTGCACAATTAATCAACAATTTTGAAGGGGAAAAAGCAGGTAACTCCTGAATGCAATGTATAGAGCCGGTTTCTTGGCAAATCAATCCTGACACTAAACAGCTAAGTAGAAGATCAGTCGTGGTTATTAACCCATCAATGACTCAATTTGCAAAGAGTGATGAGAGATTAATCGAGCCTAGAAGTATATTCCCTCGTGAAGAGAGAAAGAAACAATAATTGCCACTTGTATCGTACCTTTAATTCATTGTATTACCAAAAAAGCAAATTTGTCTTTTCAATATTAGTTGTGTTGACAAACTTTACTGTCCTCACTAAATTGTTGCTATTTTATATTTGAGGTTGGGTAAAGGTGCATAAAGTCATAATTTTTGAAAGAAGAGAGCTAAATTTTTGTGAGTTTATTATTTAATATATATCAGCTCCTTTCTCAAAATTTCAGAGCAAAAAGTCCCAGATTAAATCAAATTAGCAATGGCACCATCTTGAAGTAAAAGTTCACAATAATTTTCTGTTGATAGAATCTATCACCATCCAAAGAAAATTTCAAGCATAATAAATCATTAAAATATGCATAATCCAATGCCATCACTAAATCGAATAAATTGCCAAAACTTGACCATCCAATAACAACCACCACCAATCTCAACCCCCGCTCCTATTTCCACACTAAAACTCTGGACACCCACTCATATTCATAAGGGCAAACACCCATGCCATAAACTCCTCTGAATTAAGCAAGAGGGATTACAATCCTACTCTAGCTTCGTAATGTTGTTGAGCTGAGGTTTTAGCATTACTTCAGACGGGTTCAGGAAGATTTTAGGTTTAGTTAAATGAAGACCAGATTTATGAAATATTGACTTGGTTTTGGGGTTTGGGAAAAGAAATATGGATTAGTTATAGGAAAGTAATTTAGTTGGGCTAGTGATGTTCGTCATTGGTATTATAGAACTTAATGACTGAAATTGTGCAGTGTTTAGGAATGAGTGGGATCGAAGCAGACTGAGGGTGGATTTCCTATCGAATTTAAAAGAAAATTGTTAATTAGTTTTTTATTGATTCCTTTAATTCCTAATATTAATCGAATAATATACTGTAACCCATACATCTTTATCTCATCTCTCCATTTGCTAGGATGCCATCTTAGTTAATACATAGGAAAATTATCATAATTTCAAAGCTGCTAATATCCCATTCCTCATGTTTCACACAGGCCAAATTCTGAGACCCCAAATAAAAACCTTAAAGCAGCTGTAACTTAGAACCTTAGGAATTATTTTGTTAAGGATTGTCATCTAGCTTAGCTTGGTTATTAAGGACTAAGGCTTTAACAATAAGTTAACTCATATTACTAGTTCGGGAATGCCACTTTTGAAGGCTTGATGAGATATGCTAGTTTAGGAGATGATCTAGTAAGCCGTTTGATTAGAAGAGAGGATGAGGAAATCATAGATTTGGGATAAAGAAACAACTACATTTCTGTAAAGCATTTATTTTATTGTTTATATAGAGATCCTATATGAGAGAACCTTTGAGAAGTTTATGAGCATCTTGTGGGTAGCTGTTGGAAGTGTAGGATAGTTTGTGCAGTTGGACTTTAGATGGTACAAAAATGATCAGGAGGACATCTTTTGAAAATGTTTATATTGATATTTCCGTTTTGCAGAAAGGCATGATTTACCATTAAATTTGGAACATTTGACTATTTAACCCTAGAAATCTTAGAAGCATTATATAACTGACTTATCAAAAGATATGTTGGTAGCAATATCATTTAAAACCATGTTCAGAGAATGCTTAAGGGTACAAAAAGTGAAATTTCCAAGGCTTATATGATCCTACTGTATGAGGTCAATTTTGGGACCAATTAAACCAGCACTGCAAACAAACCAGGGAGCAATTTAGCTGATCCCGTCTTTTTCATGAAATCTTGGAAATATATTAATCCAATTGAAATTCAGATAATTCGAGAAATTACAGACTTAATTGATACATTAATCTATAATCTGCTAATAAGAGTAAATAAAAAGATAAGAAAGAAATAGAGAGGCACTTAACTTGAATTCTATAACAAATTAATAAATGAGATATTCCAATGTACAGCTCCTTCTATAAAAACAAGATAACTAAAACAGTAATGAAACACATAAATTAGTGCAATTCAGGGTAGAATAGGAGTAAGCTTCGATCCCTAAAATAGATGGTGAAAGCAGACTCAAATCAAATCATTCGAAAAGACACCCATTTTCAATGAGTAAATGGCGTTCCGTTAAATTTTGTATTCCAGTTTCGAAGTTTTTGGCTAAATTTTAGTGGTTAATAGTCCTATTCAATGCTAAGACTTCAATGGGGTTTTGGGGTTTTGGGGTTTTGGGG